GCAGGTCCCACAGAACCAACCAAGAGGATACTTGGTTTCCCACAAGACAGAGTCAAATGCAAGCCAGGAGGAAGTGAGAGCAGAGTTTATTGAATAGCTAAGTGATAGAATATAGCAGACAAAGTGTCTGGGAGACTGAGAAAGGGAGAAGTGAGTTTCCCTGTCACTTGGGGTTAGGCGTTTATATTGGAAAAGGGTCCAGGGTATGTGTTCCTTCAGGAATCCAGGGTAGGGTCCAATCAAAGGCAAATGTCAGGTGAACAATAGTTGTTATTCCATAAATCACCAAAGTTAGGGGGTATTGACACCAGTGTCAACTGAGGTTTGTTCGAAGCTAATGTCCTGGAACATGCTCAGGACCTGATTCTCCTTAGAAGTTATCAGGTGTATGGGGGCCTATGACAAAACTCAGAGACTATGAGGGGTGCCTGGGTGGCTCAGTTGGTTAAGCGACTGCCTTCAGCTCAGGTCATGATCCTGGAGTCCCGGGATCGAGTCCCACGTCGGGCTCCCTGCTCGGCAAGGAACCTGCTTCTCCCTCTGACCCTCCCCTCTCTCATTCTCTCTCTGTCTCTCAAATAAATAAATAAATAAATAAAATCTTTAAAAAAAAAAAAAAAACTCAGAGAATGATTAACTTTCTTGCTTCCACCTCAGAGTGGGAACATAGCTTCTTTGGTTTACTCAGATGCAAGGTGAAATATAGAACATGAGTAAATGGGGCCTAGCAGAGAAACAGTAGAGATGGAGCTTTTCCAAAATGGAGTCCCTTCAGTTTCCCTATCTCAATTCTGAGTTACAGAGCTGTGGGTAATTGTTAATTTCTTCTTTATATCTGTCAGCATATCTAAATGTGCTACAATGAGCAAATATAATTTTTTTTTGCAAATATAATTTCTACTACTTAAAATAACATATGAAGACATGCTCACTGCACAAGATTGATACAAGAAGAATGCTTTATCTGAAACTATTGAGATGATCATGTGGGTTTTGTCCTTTATTTTATTAATATGGCATTACAGTGATTGATTTTCTTTTTTTTTTTTAAGAATTTTTTATTTATTTATTTGAGAGAGAGAATGAGATAGAGAGCATGAGAGGGGGAAGGGTCAGAGGGAGAAGCAGACTCCCCGCTGAGCAGGGAGCCCGATGTGGGACTCGATCCCGGGACTCCTGAGCCAAAGGCAGTTGCCCAACCAACTGAGCCACCCAGGTGCCCCACAGTGATTGATTTTCATATGTTGAACAAACCTTGCATTCCTGGGATAAATCCCATTTAGTCATGGATATAATCCTTTTATACATTGCTATTTTCCGTTTGCTAGTATTTTGTTGAGGATTTTTGCATCTAGATTCACAGGAGATATTGGTCAATAGTTTTCCTTTCTTGTGGTGTTTTCACCAGCTTTGGTATCATGGTAATACTGGCCTCATAGAAAGAGTTGGGAAATATTCCCTTTTCTTCTATTTTTCAGAAGAGTTTGGGAAGAATTGATGTCAATTCCTAAATGTTTGGTAGAACTTACCAGTGAGGCCATTTGGATGTAGGTTTCTCTTTATGGGAGGGTTTTGATTATTAATTCAATGTTTTTGTTGTTATAGATCTATTCAAGGTTTCTATTTTTTCTTGAATCAATTTCAGTAGTTTGCATGTTTCTAAGAACTTGTCATCTACGTTAGTTTATTTGTTGGCATACAGTTGTTCATAGTATTCCTTGTAATTCTTTTTATTTCTAAAATGTCAGTAGTAATGTCCAGATTTTCATTTCTGATTTTAGTAACTTGATTTCTCTCATTTATGCTTGGTCATTCTAGCTAAAACTTTGTCAACTTTGTTTCAAAGAACAGACTTCTGTTTTCCTTGATTTTCTTCATTGTTTTTCTACTCTGTATTTCATTTACTCCTATTATTCATTAATATGTCCTTCCTTCTGCTTATTTTGGGTTTACTTTGCTCTTTTCCAGTTTTTTAAAGTAGAAGATTAAGTTATTGACTTGAGATTGTTCTTCTTTTCAATATAGACATTTACAGCTATAGATTCGTCTCTAAGCAATGCATTAGCTGTATCCCAACAGTAATTAACCTTAAATAGAAGAATTTCAAGTTTTTGGGGCGCCTGGGTGGCTCAGTTGGTTAAGCGACTGCCTTCAGCTCAGGTCATGATCCTGGAGTCCCTGGATCGAGTACCGCATCGGGCTCCCTGCTCGGCGGGGAGTCTGCTTCTCCCTCTGACCCTCCCCCCTCTCATGTGCTCTCTCTCTCTCATTCTCTCTGTCTCAGATAAATAAATAAAATCTTAAAAAAAAAAAAAAGAATTTCAAGTTTTTTATTATTAAAAATTTTTAAATATAGTTTAAAAATTTTTAAGAGTTGTAACATTCCCAAAAACAATAAAGCCATATTGAAAAATAAAAGTCTGAGGGAATTCTTTTGTAAAATGAATACTCTTCTCTCAATTTTCCATTTTCAAGTTCTGTTTTGTTTTAGGGTTTTTTTTTTTTAAGCAAAGCATAAGTATTTTGATAATTCCCTAAATTACGTGAGGAATATATTTGTTTAGGTTTATATATAGGAAAAAAATCAAACAAAATACACATTACTAGAGATGGTCTATGGATGATGATACCACAGGTGAGTCTTCATTTCTCCTACTCCTTTGTATTTAAAAAATGTCTTATTAATGGAAGAATTCAGTTATTAAAATGTAAAATATTTTTCTTAAACAACTTTCCTTGATACCTGATACTTTTCAAACCCTTTGCTCCCTTATTACTAGCAGTGACAGTCATAACATAAACCTGTCTTAAGGAGACAAATTCTTTCATGCTAATGCTGCTGAAGTAGCAACGTGCAGAGATGAAAATATATGACACCTGGTAAGTCCTTATGACTAAGGATGAAAGATACAAAGTTCTCTTTAAGGTAGTGGGGGTTTCAGTCACCTCTCTCTATTCCAGCAACATTAATAAAATGATCTTCTGATGTTGATGCCTGAATTTTCCCATCATAGCTAAAATTGATGGTCCTTACAGGCCAATCTGGCCCATAATACAGGGTGCAAAAAGGACACATTAGAATTCCTAAGGCATAAAGAATTAGAAGAAGGCATCCAGGATGAAATAAAACTAATTACCCAATAAGCAAAGTACTAGCAGATTTGCTTACCTAGAAATGCATTGTACCACACTGACTCATCCACATCCCAGAGGCTGACCAAAGTATCTGCACTTCCTGTAGCAAAATACTTCTCCCTGGGTCAAACCACATAGGAAGGGCATTAATGGACTGCATAGGCTTTGGTGCTAGATAGCTGAAAAACAAGACAGACAGCAGTAAAAGGACTGTGACACTAAGAAGATAATAAGAACCCCTGAAGAAAACCAAAGTAAAACAATAGAACAAATACCAAAAACCATAATTCAAGAAAGCTTTACCAAAAAAAAAAAAAAAATTTTCAAGCTACATATTGAAAGAGCATACCACTTACCTGAGAATGTGAACCCAAAACAACCAACATCAAGACATAAACTAATAAAAATACTAAAGTTTAGGGGCTCCTGGGTGGCTCAGTCAGTTAAGCGACTGACTTGACTTCAGCTCAGGTCATGATCTCAGTGTTGTGAGATCAATTCCCATGTTGAGCCCTGTGTGGGGCTTCACAATGGGCATGGAACCTGCCCAAGATTCTCTCCCTCTCCTTCTGCCCTCCCCCTGTTCGTGTTCTCTCTCTCTCTCTCAAAAAAAAAAATTACTAAACTTTAAAGGAAAGGCCTTTGGGCATCTAGGCAAAAAGAGCAGATGTTTTTGAGGGACAGTATTAAGCCACCACCAGAATTTTTGACAGCAACACTTTATGCCCCGTATCTATGCAGGAAAAAAAAATTGAGAAACATGTTTAAGATACACAAGGTGAAAAATGTGAGTCAAGGACTTCTATATCCTGCAAAACTTACTTTCAAGTGTAAAGGGCACAAATGAACTTTATTAGCAATAAGGAAGAAGTCAGGGTGCCTGGGTGGCTCAGCTGTTAAGCGTCTGTCTTCAGCTCAGGTCACTTTGAAATACACTCCCAATCTAACAGCATTTGTCACACACTCCTCTATCTCTTCTCAGTCCTACCTTCTTATTCACCCCAACCTTCTCCTCACCACAGTCTCTACCCCTCCTCTCTCCCCATCCCTACACCCTCTCTCTCCTTACTCCTCCTACTCCCTCCTTCTCATTCCCACCCCCTCCTCACCCCACCCTCTTCTGCACCATCATTCTCTCCTCATCACCGCACTACACTTCTCCATCACCCTTCTCCCTGGCCTAGGCTGAGCCCTGACAGCTCCCCCAAAAGGTCCTCATCCCCCAAGAAGACAGAGACCATTTTGTTCAAGGACTCCAAGGCAAGGCAGGGTCAGTGGCAGCATACACCCTATGCCAGGAACTCTTATGTCTTGCTGTGGATGCAGAACAGCTCAGAATCTTGAGCACTTAGCAGGACAGGCTTGAGATCACTGAGTTCCAGGGGGCCACTGAATCTGGACTGCTCTGGCCCAGAGATAGGACCCCATTGCTGCCAGGACCACCACAAGGAGCACCTCGTCAACAAAATTACTGTGGACCATGGCCTGTTCTCTGGCTGCTTCCATGTGAATGCATGTGCCCAGAAGTGAGGCAGAGGACTACAAAGCCACCCTGTGTCCCCAACACACTGAAAATCCCAGCATGCAGCACATGCTCATCTTTGTCTTTTCAAACAATGATTTTGCCTTAAAAATTTTTTTTTGAAAGAGGGAAGCAAACCATAAGAGACTCTTAACAGTAGAGAACAAACTGAGGGTTGATGGAGGGGGGTGGGTGGGGGATGGCCTATATGGGTAATGGCACTTGTTATGATGAGCACTGGATGTTATAGTAAGTGATGAATCACTGAACTCTGCTCCTGAAACCAATATTACACTAGTTAAGTAACTAGAATTTAAATAAAAATTTGGAAACAAATAAATCACTCATCTACTCAAGAAAAAAGTGGCATAATTTCTTTTATTTAGATATAATTCATATAACATAAAATTCACCCTCTAAAGTATATAATTCAGGGCTTTTAATATGTTCAAAAAGTTGTACAGCCATTATGACTACCTAATTTCAGAACACTTTAGAAATCACCCCAAGTAACCTTTTACCTATACAGTCACTCCTCATTCCCTCCTCCCAGCAACTACTAATCTACTTTCTATCTCTGTGGATTTGCCTTATCTGGACATTTCATATAAATGGAATCACATAACATGTAGCCTTCCTTCACCTAACATAATGTTTTCAAGATTCATCAATGTTATAGCAGGTATCAGTACTTATTCCCTTTTATGGCTAAGTTATATTCCATTGTATTCCATGGATATTCCACATTTTGTTTATCTAATCATCAGTTGATGGACATTTGAGTTGTTTTCACTTTTTGACTATCATAAATAATGCTACTATGAGCATTCATTTTTCTGGGAACATATGTTCAGTTGCATATTTGTAAATATTTTCTTCCATTCTACAGGTTTTCATTTTCTTTTTAAGTAATTATTATTATTATTATTATTACTAAAGATTTTATTTATTTATTTGACAGAGTGAGAGAGGGAACACAACAAGCAGAGGGAGTGGGAGAGGGAGAAGCAGGCCTCCCACTGAGGAGGGAGCCCAATGCGGGACTCAATCCCAGGACCCTGGGATCATGACCTGAGCCGAAGGCAGACGCTTAACGACTGACTGAGCCACCCAGGTGCCCCTCTTTTCAATTTCTTACTTGTGTCTTCTGAAACACAAATGTTGCTCCAATTGGTTTTTCTGGATCTTATACCCTTATCAGATATAAATGAAGTCCAAAATATCTAGTTTTCTTTAGTTGTTTGTGCTTTTAGTGTCATACCTAATAAGCCTAATCCAAGGTCATGAAGATATTTTCTTCTAAGAGTTATATAGTTTTAGCTATTACATCTAGGTCTTTGATTCATTTTGAGTTAATTTTTGTGTATGGTGTGAGATAGGGGTCCAAATCCATTCTTTTGCATGTGAATATCCGGTAAACACATTAAAATCAGTTACATCTTGAGGCACCTGGCTGGCTCAATCAGTAGAGCATGCAACTCTTCATCTCAGGGTTGTGAGTTCGAGCCCCATGTTGGGTGTAGAGGTTACTTTAAAAAATAAATAGGGGCGCCTGGGTGGCTCAGTCATTAAGTGTCGGCCTTCGGCTCAGGTCATGATCCCAGAGTCCTGGGATTGAGCCCCACATCCGGCTCCCTGCTCCACGGGGAGCCTGCTTCTCCCTCTCCCACTCCCCTTGCTGTGTTCCCTCTCTCGCTGTGTCTCTCTGTCAAATAAATAAAATCTTTAAAAATAAATAAATAAATAAAAATTTAAAAAAAATAAAATCAGTTATATCTTATATATTGGCAATAAAGAACTGGAAAATAAAAATTTTTAAATATCATTACAAAAGCTCACTGAAATGAAATAATTAAGTATGAACTAACAAAACATGTTCAAGATAAAACTACAAAATGCTGATAAAAAAATTTAAAAACTTACATAAATGGAGAGGCATACCATGTTCATGAATTGCAAAACTGAACATAATAAAGATATCAATTCTCCCAAATTGACCTATAAATTTAATAGATTTCCAATTAAAATCCCAGCAGGAATTTTTTCTGTAGATATAGACAAGTGATTCTAAAATTTAAATGGAAAGGCAAAGGAACCAGAAAAAGAACAAAATAATTTTAAAAAACAAGTATAAAGTTGGAAGAATCACATTATCCAATTTTAAGACTGATGATATAGCTACTGTAATCAAGACAGAATTGTACTGGCAAAGGAGTACACACATATAGAATCATCCAATATATGGCCTTTCATGTAGCATATTTTCAGAAGTAGACCCACACAAATATGGCCAGCTGATTTTTGACAAAGACACAAAAGCTATTAACGATGAAATGATAGTTTTTTTCAACAAATGGCATTAGAACAATTGGACATCCATATATATAAAAAAAAGAGTATCAACTTACACCTTACACCTTATACTAAACTAACTCAAAATGGATCATAGACCTAAAACCATAAAACTTTCAGAATAAAACATAGGAGAAAGTCTTCATGATGTGGAATTAAACACATAATTCTTGGTGATGACTCCAAAAACACAATTCACAAAAGAAAAAGTTGACAAATTGGACTTATTAAAATTAAAAGCGTCGGGGTGCCTGGGTGGCTCAGTCGTGAAGTGTCTGCCTTCGGTCCTGGGATCGAGCCCCGCGTCGGGCTCGCTGCTCCGTGGGAAGCCCGCTTCTCCCTCTCCCACTCCCCCTGCTGTGTTCCCTCTCTCGCTGTGTCTCTCTCTGTCAAATAAATAAATAAAATCTTTTTAAAAAATTAAATTAAATTAAATTAATTAAATTAAATTAAATTAAATTAAAAGCATTTGTTTTGTAAAAATACTGTTTAAAAATTAAAAGACAAGCTACAGACTCAGAGAAAGTATTTGCAAATAACATACTCAAAAAGGATGGGCTTATGCACAGAATATATAAAGAACTCCCAAGACAAAGCAAAAAGAAAACAACTCTATTTAAACATGGGCAAAAGACTTGAACACACACTTCACTAAATAGGATATACTAATAGAAAATAAGCACATGAAAAAATACTCAACATTATATGCCATTAAGGGAAACATGATTTAAAACCATGATGTTTCATTGCACATCTATTTGAATGACTAAAATAAAAAATACTTATAATAATTCCAAGTGCTGACAAGAATGCAGAGCAGAGCAAGTCAAACCCTCATACACTGCTGGTGGGAATACAAAATAATAGTCACTCTAGAAAAGAGTTTGGCAGTTTCTTATAAATCTAAAAATACTCTAACCATATGAATCCCACTCTTGGGTATTTACCCTAGAGAAATGAAAACTAATGTTTACAAAAAGAGCTTATGGCAGCTCTATTCATAATTGCCCAAACTAAAAACAACCCAAATGTCCTTCAGTTAGGTGAATGAATAAACTGGTACATCCATCCAATGGAATATTACTCAACATGTATCAATAGTGCCTGGATGAATCTCAAAAGATATGCTATTCGAAAGCCCATCTCAAAAGGTTATAAACAATATGATTCTATTCATATGACATACGTGATAAGACAAACTACTGATGGATATCAGTTCAGTGGTTGCTAGGTTGGCCCCAGGGAGGTTATCTCCATAAAGAGGTCCATAATGGAGTGTTTTGAGGTATGTGTTAGTTTCCTAGGGCTGACATAAATAACAAAGTACCACAAAATTGGTTGTCTTAAAGCAACCAGAATTTAATCTCTCACAGTTCTAGAGGTTAGAAGTCTGAAATCAAGGTATTGGCAGGACGATGCTCCTTCTGAAACCTCTAGAAAAGGACCTTACTTATCTCTTCCAGCTTCTAGCAGCCTCATCTTTACATTCCTTGGCTTGTGACAGCATAACTCCAATCTCTGCTTCTATCTTCACATGGCTTTTACCCTGTGTGTGCCTCTAAATCTGCATGGTATTTTCCTCCTTTTTAAAAGACACTGATGGCTAGAATGGCTAAAATTAACAAGACAGGGAACAACAAATGTTGGCGAGGATGTGGAGAAAGGGGAACCCTCTTACACTGTTGGTGGGAATGCAAGCTGATACAGCCACTTTGGAAAACAGTATGGAGGTTCCTCAAGAAGTTAAAATAGAGCTACCCTACAACCCAGCAATTGTACTACTGGGTATTCACCCCAAAGATACAGACGTACTGAAAAGAAGGGCACATGCATCCCAATGTTCATAGCAACAATGTTCACAATAGCCAAACTGTGGAAGGAGACGAGATGTCCTTCAACAGATGAATGGATAAAGAAGATGTAATTCATATATACAATGGAATATTACTCAGCCATCGGAAAGGATGAATACCTCCATTTTTATCAACATGGATGGAACTGGAGGGTATTATGCTAAGTGAAATAAGTCAAGCAGAGAAAGACAATTATATGGTTTCAGTCATATGTGGTATATAAGGAATAGCACAGAGGACCATAGGGGAAAGGAGGGAAAACTGAATGGGAAGAAGTCAGAGAGGGAGACAAACCATGAGAGACTCTTGACTCTGGGAAACAAACTGAGGGTTGTGGAAGGGGAGGTGGGTGGGGGATGGGATAACTGGGTGATGGGCATTAAGGAGGGCACGTGATCTGATGAGCACTGGGTGTTATATGCAACTAATGAATCACTGAAAACTACATCAAAAACTAATGATGTCCTATATGTTGGCTAATTGAATTTAAATAAAAATGAATGAATGAATGAATGAATGAATGAATGAATGAATGAATAAACAAATAAATAAATAAATAAATAAAATAAAAGACACTGGTGATGCCTGGGTGGCTCAGTCAGCTGGGGACTGACTCTTGGTTTCAGCTCAGGTCATGATCTCGGGGTCCTAGGATCAAGCCCTGTGTCAGGCTCTGTGCTCAGCGGGGAGTATGCTTGAGATTCTCTCTCTCCCTCTGCCCCTCCCTCTGCCCCATGTGCGCGCGCGCTCATGCACGCACAAACTCCCTCTCTTTCTCTAAAATAAATAAATCTTTAAAAAGATAAAAAAGACACTGGGGCGCCTGGGTGGCACAGTCAGTTGAGCACCCGAATTTTGATTTTGGCTCAGGTCATGATCTCAGGGTCATGGGATCAAGTCCGATGCCAGGCTCTGCACTCAGCATGGAGTCTGCTTGTCCCTCTCCCTCCATTCCCTCCCTCCTTGCAACCCCGCTCTCTCTCAAATAAATAAAATCTTTAAAAGACACAAGTTATATTGGATTAGAGCCCACCCTAATGGCCTTATCTTCACCTGATTACATCTCCAAAGACTATCCAAATAAGGTTACATTCACAAGTACTGGAGGTTAGGATTTACATATCTTTGCTGGTGGGGGGATGGGGTGGTGGGAAGGATATAATTCAACCCATAAAAAAGTGATAGAACTATTCTGATTCTGATTACAATGTTGGTTTCAGTAATCTGTGTATTAAAACTGATAGAATTATACATTTTAAAAAGCTACTGTAAATTCAAACACAAAGCAAAAAGAAGAAAAGCACAGGTACAGGGATGTCAACTTTCATTTTGCCAAGTAAAGGACATTTAAAATATATATACTGCCACCATTTACTATTCTCATCATTTTGTTGAGGAAAGGATTGATGAATACCAAAAAGTAAGAACAACATAACCTCAAAATAGCAGCAGTTTGTTCATTACAATAAATTTAGAGTAAAGATCAATTCATTACAGGGCGCCTGGGTGGCTCAGTCGTTAAGCGTCTGCCTTCTGCTCAGGTCATGATCCCAGGGTCCTGGGATCGAGTCCCACATCAGGCTCCCTGCTCCACGGGAAGCCTGCTTCTCCCTCTCCCACTCCCCCTGCTTGTGTTCCTGCTCTATGTCTCTCTCTGTCAAATAAATAAATAAAATCTTAAAAAAAAAAAAAAAGATCAATTCATTACAAACAAGAGAGCATTATTGGCCAAATACATAATATAAAAACTGAAAGAATTGAAGGTAGGTAGAATAGACAGGTGAACCAGTATAGTTGGAGACTTTGATACTCCACTTTGAATAATAGACAGAACAAATAGATGGAAGATCAACAGAGAAATAGAAGACTTGAACAACACTATATGATAATATATCTAACAGATATCCATAGAGAACACTTCATCCAAAGCAGAATACATAATCTTCTCAAGTGCACATGGTACATTATCCAGGATAAAACATATGTTAGGCCATAAAACAAGTCTCAACAAATTTAAAAGGACTGAAATCATACAAAGTATGTTCTTTGAATTCAATGGAATAAAATTAAAAGTAACAGGAAAAAAATTGGGAACAAACATGTGAAAATTAAAACACTCCTTAAAAAAATCAATGGGTGAAAGAAGAAATCACAGGGAAATTAGAAAATACTTAGCTATAAATGAAAACAAAACACAACATACCAAAATCTATGAGATGTGGTTAAGGCACTGCTTACAGGATTTATATGGCTATAAATATATATATCTAAAAATAAGAAAAATCTCAAATCAATAACCTAACTTCCTACCTTAAAGTACTACAAAAAGTAGAGCAAACTAAACCTAAGGAAAGCAGAAGGAAATAAATAATAATTACAGCAAAAAATAAATGAAATAGAGAATAAGAAACAATAGAGCAAATCAATGAAACCAAAAGTTCTTTCTTTGCAAAGACCAACAGAATTGACAAGTAAAGCTAGCTTGACCAAGAAAAAAGAGAAAGGCAATCCAAATTACTAAAATCGGGTATGCAAGAGGGGACATTACTACTGACCTTACAGAAATGAAGTGAATTATAGGAAATACTATGTATGTCAACAAATTAGACAACCTAAATGAAACCAGATGGACAAATTCCTAGAAAGACAAAAACTACCAAAACTGACTCAAGAAGAAATAGAATAGGAGCAACCCAAATGTCTATCATTGAGGAATGGATAAACAAAATGTGGTATATCAATATAATGGGGAATATTATTTAGTCATAAAAAGGAGTAAAGTACTGATACATGCTACAAAATGGATGACCCCTGAAAACATAATATTAACTGAAAAAAGCCAGACACAAGAGGTCACATATTATGTAATTCCACTTATATGAAATGTCCACAATAGACCAATCCATAGAGACAGAAAATAGATTAGTGGCTGGTGGGGGGAGGGAGGGAATGGGGCGTGACTACTAATAGGTACAGAGTTTCTTTTAGGGGTGATGAAAATATTCTGGGAGATAGTAGTGATGGTGTGCTACTCGGTAAATATAGTAAAGAATGCTGAATTGTACACTTTAAAAGGGAGGATTTTGTAGTCTTTGAATTATATTCCAACTTTCAAGAAGGATGTTAAAACCAATGGGCAAAATATGAATATGAATTATATACCAGATGGTAATATTGTGTCAATGTTAATTTTCCTGAGTTTGATCATTACAATGTGGTTATAGAAGAAAATGTTCTTCTTTTTAGGAGAAACACACTGAAATATTTAGAGGTAAAGGGTCATAATATCTATAACTAATTCTCAAATGCTTCAACAAAAATAATAATAATAAAATGGAATGAGTCAATGAGGCAATTAATAGTTTACAAAATATTGATTGGTGACTCTAGGTGAGAGCTCATTGCTCCATTCTTGCAAATTATGGCACCATTCTTACAACTTTAAAAGTTTTTCAAAATACAAAAGTATTGTTTAATGAAAAAGGTCTAGCAAGGGGCACCTGGGTGGCTCAGTCGTTAAGCGTCTGCCTTTG